CTGGTATCCATGGACACAGGGCCGGCTCTAGCTGTTCTGTCGCCCGAGTCAGGATTGGGTGCCCCAAGTCAAGAAGTCAAAATATAGTTTAGATTCAGTAAACAACATGAAAACAACATTAATTTATCTTAATTTATCTGACTTTCATACGGGATATTTTAGATGTGTTCATGTGTCTGATGTCTCCTTTTTGACTAGCAAAAAACAATTATAATAAAAGAAATGGATGCTGCTGGTGGTTGGAATGTCGTATCTAAAAAATGTATTCACAGTGAGGTGCAAGTTCAACACAAAGAGAGGAAAGATTGACGTTCAGCACGATTTTTGAAAATGCTGATGCTACAGTACCATTGTTTGGACTGAGCCAGTTGTGTTTGGGGCTGGAATCCACCTCTGTTTTTGGGATCAGAAACAGACAAATGGCTCAGAAGACAATGGCAGCTTTGTACCTCGCTTTAACACAAATAGAGGTCAATTTGATAAGGGTGGCAGAGCACAGCAAATGCATTAGTCGCCCGTTTCCTCTTTATTATTTGATAAGGGTGGCAGAGCACAGCAAACGCATTAGTCGCCCGTTTCCTCTTTACCTTATTGTCAAAAACATCAAATAACAGACAGAAAAAAATTATATAATAAATGTATATATATAAATATATGAAATCTAAATGTCTTAAAGACTTAAAGAACACACGTTCTTTATTTGACTTTTTTTAATTTTGAATTTTTGTAATATTTCTGTTAGGATAAACTGTAGATGTGCTGCATTAATTACAGGTGGTACATAGTGTTAAGATGTTAAGATGTGTTAGACTTAGATACAATGGTGTGGTTTTAATGACACATAGTATTCTAAGTCTCAATAGTGGTAATCCGTTACGTTCGTAATTATTTGCAAAAAGGGGGAATTGTAGAAAATATTGGAACAGGGAAACGGTGTTATGGATCAATGTTTCTCAAACTGGGGGGCGGTTCACCCCTTAAGGGAACAGCAGGACAACTTAACCTCAGTTTTAATATTTACTTGTTACTGGTTTGTTGTTGGGGACCACCCTTTGAGATCAACCCCCATCATACACTTCTGGTGGCTCTTTAAAAATGTTGTTCTTGTGGTTCTTCTTGAGAACCTGTTATCTATTTTAACTTTAAAGCTAAAAGAGCTTTTGGCCGTGGGACATTTTTTCTCCCTTGCTTTCTCCCTTTGAACTACACTACACTGTACGCACAGGTTTGACTCTACCTATGTGTTTTTTGGCAAGATGTTCAACCCCAAAGTTGTATAAAATTTCCCAGACAGCTGATGTGATGGTTATTTGCCCGGTTGAAGTAGATGATTCCAACAACATTATACCACACAGAATCCTCTATGGCAACCCTGGCGGAAGGTGAGTTGTCGATGACTCTTAATCAACAAAACGTTATAGGGAAACAATGCTCCTTTCTTCCCCAGAGATGATAAAGTATAAGATGCGTTAATAAGTAAACCATCCCACACAAGGTTACAGTTGCAGGAGGAAATAATGACGTAACATTTCAAGAAGAAAGATTATTCCTGGAATGACAGACTCATGTGCATCAATAAACCATTGTACTCACCTCAAGCTTTTTTCTGGTAAGAATTTAAAGTAAACAAACAAGGAGCTAATGTGGATGGCTGTTATTTAAGCGAGGCTGCCAATTTACCCTGTGGGCAAATCTAAACCAGTAGCTCTTACACTGAGGTGATACTCGCATAACAATAGGCAAAGGCAATGGTCAGGCATTTAGTGCATGTACTACACCTCAGGTACTGTGTACTGAGAGAATATAAGTAGGGATTTTGTGTCTGGTAAAAACAACCAGTGTCCGCTTCACTGCTTCGCATGACTGACATTATTTCTATCTAAATGTGGCTGTACTGTCCATGGACCCTCGGTCAAAACAGAGGGTCAAATGAAAGAACTTCTGCACTTCTGCATGAAAAAAAAAAAAAACTCCTACCCAGCAGTATTTTAGATGAGTGATGTCTATCAACTTTGTCACTTGTTTTGGGCACGTCACAAAATGTCACTAAAAAGTAGTTGACATTTAAAATCTATTTGTACAAAAATCAAAGACCTGCAGTTTGTAAAAAAAAAAAAAAAAAGAACCGGTTCTTTGATGTATTTGACGTTGGGGAAATTGATCTTCTTGGAAAGATCTTTTGAACTGTCCATGGATATTTTGTGCACAACAAACCGTGTTTGGTGATAAAACTGTGTTGTACATTACAGATTTATTGACATTTACGACTCTATGGACTAACACTAACATGTTTTTGAAGGAGTATAAAAGCCAGGGTTTCCCCAGACTGCATGTTAGGCTCACACCACATCAGGTAGGTTTACAGGTATCCTGATACCATTATTCATTTAAAAAAGGGCAGTCAGCTTTGTTGAAATGCCAGGTTTGGGCCATTTCTTCAGAGCAAATTGGTCGGTTTATCTAATCTGTTTTATTCATACTAGTATTATTTATGATTTTGCCAAAGATAGAGATCTCAGGTTTGTGAGTTTCCTCTCAAACTACTGATCCACACAGAGATAAGTGAATGCAAACTCAATAAACACACATTCCTTGCTAGATAAACTCCACAAGAACAACAAGAAATTCAAGTACCATTTCTTTATTGTAAATTGCTCTTTTGTCCAGCAGTTACAGGGTGACAATTATGCTGATTCTAAGTTCCTGGAAAAGTTTCACTTGGGCGGGATCAGTGATTTAAGTGGGAGTAGTTGCAAAACCTGTAATGTCTTTATATGCAGTCAGATGTGAGCAACTACTCATTTGTGACTAGATCTGAGGCAGAAAAACCATGTGTTTGAACACAGGTCATCCCTGCTGCTGTCTGACCGAGGGCAATCCCTGTGAACCATGTAGGATGACGGCCAAGGAGACGGAGTCAGAAGGTGTCCCCATACCCAGTAACATCAGCTCAGCAATCAACACCTTTGAGCACGACCCACCTATCGCTTCCATAACGGAGGGGAAGGAGAGGCGTCGGAACTGGGGATGGGTGGTGTCCGGGATCATCTGTGTGAACGTCTTGATGCTGGGCTGTGCCTTGTCCAGTGGCATGGCTGATGACAACATCAAAATCAAAACTTCAGACTTACAAATTTACCTCATCATTCTTCTCCTCCTCACCACCATCTGGATGATTTATTACTCCATCTTCACGCTGAGGAACGATAACGCCGTTGTCTATCAGGATGCTCATGCCGGACCAGTTTGGCTCAGGGGTAAGTGACGTCCTCCAGTTTCTCACTGTCTTCACTGTTAGATTTTTATTTAGTTTAAAAGACGTGTCCTTCTTTGTTCCCAGGTGCAATGGTTCTGTTTGGACTGTTGAGTATTATCATGGATATTTTCAAGATAGCCAGCTATGTGGGCTACCTTCACTGTGACTCTGGTGTTAAGGTTGCATTCCCTGTGGTCCAACTTGTCTTCTTAGTTGTACAGGTAATGGACAAATCTAAAAAAAAAAAGTAAAAGCCTTTGTCTTTGGCCATGGATGAAATAATGAACACTACCAAATCTTTTTGCAGACCTACTTTTTCTGGATCCATTCAAAAGACTGTATGCAGATTCAAAAGAATATCACACGGTAAGTGGAAGTTTTTTTCACCACTTATTGTCAATTCGGGCATGGCGGGTGTAATATTGAAAAAATACATAAATATATTCACATATGTTCATATTTCCTCTGCATTGGCTTTAAAATAAAAATCAAAGTAAATAGCAGAAGGTTTAAGATACATTATACATGATACAAAAAATAAATAAAATAAATGAGGTTAACACACAAAAGACATCTAGTTATGTTGAGTTTTGTGTCAATTTATTTGGACCTTATTTGCCCCTCACTTGGGCTCATTCTATTTGGTCTAAGTCATTAAAAATATTAACACTTCCACTGTGTTGTGGCCCTTAACCCTTTCAACATCTCTTCATGATGACTTAGCACACCAACATGTCAAAGGACAGTCAAGGTGTGTCCAGGCATGACGACACATTTATGCAAACACTACAAACCAGTTCCACTGTCACAGCGCCACACAGCTGTCACATTATATCAGTGTTTTTAAACGTTGGGGTCGGAACTTCATACCTGAACAGTCTAGCAATTCATTAAAAAAAATATATAAATATAATAAAAAATACTGATAACAATATTTCTTCAACTAATTATTAATCTTCAATTATTTCCAATTTTCAATTATGATTAAACACCATCACACAACAGTGTTTCCCACAGGCTTTTGGGAAACTGTGGCATCAAGCTTTGACATTTCTCATCTTAGCAAAATTTAGCTTGCAGCCGTTGTTCTTTTTAAATTTCTTCATTGTGTATTTTTGTTGCATCTTCTTCTTTTTTTAGCTGCGGCTTGATGCTCACCCTCTCCACAAACTTAGTTGTGTGGATGACAGCAGTCACCGAGGAGTCAGTTCACCAGACAATTATTCCAGATGACAAAAGCAATTACACTAAACTCACCGGACGGAATTTGTACATCCAAAAAGGTAATATATGTTAGCCATGCAGACAAATCAACGTTAAAACTAAAGAACAAAAATTTAAACAGCTCTTCATGCTGTGTTCTTGTTTGTCACACAGCTGGTTATGGAGACAGTAAATGCAAGTGCAGCCATTCATCCTGCAGCATCTTTAAGGAGGCCTATTACTACCTCTATCCCTTCAATATTGAGTACAGTCTCTTTGCCTCAGCAATGGCCTATGTCATGTGGAAGAATGTTGGTCGTGTAGCGGACGATCACGCCCATCACGACCTCAAATTTAGGGTGAGGGACTCGTTCATCGGTCCTGTACTTGGGGTTCTCTTGGCAATCGCAGGCCTGGCAACGTTTATAGTGTATGAGATGACCATCATAAAGGGTGAGGAGGAAAAGACAGACCATGTCGTGATGATGCATTTCATCATGAACATAGTCATAGTAACCACCATGTCAATTGCCTGTATGATTGGAAGCGCAGTGTATAGGTTAGACCAGAGAGACCTTAATTCTGACAAGAACCCCACACGTAGCTTAGATGTTGGGCTGCTGGTTGGAGCGTCACTGGGGCAGATCGTCATCAACTATTTCACAATTGTAGCCATGATTGCAACTAAAGTCAAAGGCACCTTAAACAAGTTAAATCTGGCTTGGGCTTTCCTGATGGTCATCGAACTGGGCCTGCAGAACTTCTTCATAATTGAAGGTTTGCATCGAGAGCCCTTCCACGAGGCACCGCCTGTCACTGTGCTGTCAAATCCATATGTGCTGCAGCTGGGCAAAGAGCTGAGTATCAGCAGCCTTGATGACTCAGACATGGAGAAAAAGCCTTCTCCAGAACTCACAGAGAGCAGCCTGCACAGCCACACAGATGGGCACCAGTCCGGTCTTTCATGGAAGAGGCGAGTGTTGAAAGACGTTTGCGCCTTTCTGGTGATGGGCAACATTATAGTGAGTAATTTCCTCCTCACCGCTTCATAAGCTGTTTCTTTAAAAACTTTTGATTCATTTTTTTCATCCTGTTCCTTTGTTTTTCCTCAACAGCTTTGGATCATGCCGGCCTTTGGGGCTCGGCCTCAGTTTGACCACGACACTGAATCTGAATTTTACAACTTCAAAACATGGGCTGCTGTTGTTAATGTGGGACTTCCCTTTGGAATCTTCTATCGCATGCATTCAGTCGCCAGTCTGTTTGAAGTGTTTATGATGTCATAGCATTGATGTTTTCAAAACGTGACTATTTTGTATAAATTGTACATTGTTTTCATTGTACTTTTTTTGGTATCCTTTCAAATGAAGTCAATTAAGCTATTTGTCCTCACACTGACTGTCAACACTCACCACCTGCTGCTGTTACTGTTCCTTTGTATAGCCTGTACATTTGACAATAGAAATTGTTCACTAATGTTAATTATTCATTATTTTGGTGTTTGGTGCAGTGTATGAACATATGAGGCATCAAATAATGCACAAAAATAAAAGTACCTTTTATTCTTTATTCCATCGCAACCTCACAATGAAAAAAGTGTTCTTAGAAGGTGCTTTTGCACATTTACCTGATATGACCATGATCAGTCACTTACACATTTCTCTTTATTTTAATGTTGTATATCATCTAAATGAGGAAAAACCTTCCTATCACATCAAACCTCTATGAATACATAACATATTTGTGTAGCACTGACATTTTACAATGTTTTACTCATATTTACATGTGTACCAAATTTGCAGGCAGTCCTCCAGGTTTTGGGAGTCTTGACCATTTTGCCTTGCCCACATAACGAAACCAAACAAACATTCTAACATTCATTCAATTTATTTGGTTGAGTGTATTGTTCAAGTTACATAAAACATAAATGTGCTTGGTGTTAAGGGTCACATTTTTCAAGATAACGTTGGCAAATTGACAGACAACTTTACTGAATCAAGAAATAAACAGATTGTCTGAATTCAGTGATACAAGTGATTTACTTTTTATTTTCATTTGAATATATTTTTAAATTACATTCTGGAAGGTTTCAGGTTCAAATCCATCAGCTGCCAAGTTACCACTGAGGTGCTCTGAGCATGGCACTGTCCCCACACACTGCTCCCCTGGCGCCCAAAACTGCCCACTGCTCACCTTGGTGATCGGTTAAAAGCAGAGGCTCAATTTCGTTGTATCCCCGTGTTATATATATATATATATATATATATAATATACATATATATTTATATATATATATATTTATATATATATTTATATAAATATATATATATTTATATA